TTTGGTACTGCTAAAATAATTAAAATTGCTGAAATTGATGTTGCAGCTCCGTATCATGGAAGAGTGACTGTGGTTGAATTTCACTATCAGATGAAGTGAGGTTGTCCTGAACGGTCATGTAAGCACCCTTGACCTTCTTTTCCAATTTAGGACAATTATATTTGAGATGTCATAGTTGGTGATAGTAGTTACAAGTCTTCACTGAGTCATCGTCATGAGCATATCTGTCGTGAGATAGACCTCCACGGCCACCTCGTTGATCACCTCGGCCTCCAAAACGACCAGTGTGATAACCTCCTCTCCCTTCAAAGTTTCTTCTACCTCTTCTAGGATCACCAATATGACCTCCTCGTTTATAAGACTGTCAACTATGAGTGACAAGTGCAGAGCGATCCGCAGTGGATGTGAGTGGTTGTGGCGTTATTCAGAAAGTGATAAGTCTCAGCCAAAGAACTAATGACGGAGCTCCCCATAATTTATGATCGAGCAGAGTAAATAAAATCTAGGGTGCCCAAGTAGGTGAGTACCATAAACTTGTTCCATTGATTTTGCATTTGTTTTACATCCCCAGTAATAGAAAACATTTGACGAAGTTCCTCAGCCAGACGATTGAACTCACCATAATGATCATTCATGGGTTTACCATCTTATTTCTTACGAAACAGCTCTTGAATTACTTCATATGTCCGATTAATATTGATGCTACCCCCATAGAGATCTTGCAAAAAATACTAAAGTTCCTTCACTGTCATACAACGAATAACTAAATCTTAAATTTTAGGCTCAATAATATTAAGAAGTTGATGCAAGAGGACACTATCGTCTAATGTCTAAGATTCCAGTGTCAGAGTAGGAAGGCATGTTAATAAATGATCAGTTTTGTCTCAGCCTGACGCGTAGATTTTAATAACACGTTTTCACTGGAAATAGTTAATTCAATCAAGTTTCCTGTCAGGATTCTACCAGAAAATATCTCTGAAACTTTCGTCTAGACCGTTAACTCAAAATTCTTGAGTTCATCAGATCCAGCCATCATGAAACAGATGAGTAGAGTTTAAGACAATACCCTCCATAAGTTGTACTCCAAAATGGAAACAAGTATGTCCCAAGTTCAAGAAAATAAGTCTTGAATTAACAGTAGGCTGAACAAGTCCAAGAACCCGAATATTTAATTTTGAACCTGAAGGTTAAAGATCAAGAACCCAAAGGTTAACATGAAACTTGAATGTTAAAGATCAAGAACCCGACGGTTAAGATGAAACCCGAAGGTTTTTCTTTTTACAAGACAACTCGCAGATCTGATTAAGATCCGAAAACAAAAAGAGAGCGACGAGCGACGAGCATGGTGGTGGCGAGTGAAGGCCTTATAGTGGCAGCGGTCATCGGTCATCAACGGCGAGCGGCGTCGGGTGGGAGTTGTCGCGTCGGGTGAGAGAAGCTTGAGGACGAGGACGTGGATCGAATGGACGAGGACGAGGAGTTGTCGAGGAAGATGAGGGCGATGATGATGGCGAGGACGAGAACGATGAGGACGATAAAGCGGTTGTCGGGTTTTGGCGGCTAGGGTTTTGGAGAGAGGCGGCTGCCTAGGGTTAGGGTTAGGCTTAGAAATATGGATTAGTATTAGGGTTAGGATTATGGATAGGCTCTGATACCATGTTAAGATTTGACGAGAAGAATTTCTTGGAGAGTCTTCCCCTCACTCCATACTTTATTATTTATAGAGATAGATTAGTTACAAATTAGTCTCACAGACAATGTGAGACTAAACTAATGGTATGTTTGGGAGTTCACTTAGGGAAGGGGAATTTTGGGGAATTTTTCCCCTTCATTACCTCCAATTTGGGGTGTAACATTTTGGCACAAATTTTCCCCTCATTCCCCTCCTTTACCATCCTAAATGCAACTCCCAAACAAGGTTAAAATTAAATTTCACTTCTCCTCCCCCTCTCTACCATTCATCCAAACAGGCTAATGCTAAACTAACACTCATACTCTCTTCTAACACATCCCAACCATCATCACCATGTTGTCACCACTTCCAACCATTAAAGATAAGTGAATTGGGCCCATCCAAATTGAATAAGATCTAAAATCAAAGTGAGTTGATTTGAAGCCATACTCAGCCAGTTAGCCCTTACTTCATTAAGTGAACTTGTCCTTGAGTAACTTCGGTCTATTTCAAACAATATTGAAGCGCCAAAGTTGCTCAATATTATCGTTCTTGTTCTATTTCAAACAATATTGAAGCGCCAAAGTTGCTCAATATTATTGTTCTTGTTCCCTTCCATTTGTTCACAACCATATTCGGAATTATTGTTGCAAAAAGGAGACAAAACAGCTCATTATCTCCTAGAGAAGTCACAAAGCAGCAGAAGCAAAACATTTTGTATCTTCGATTTAATGAAATTGTTAGGTCTTGAAATTAGTTTCATTTTATTTGGATTTGGATTAGGATGTGAAAGTAGCAAGTATTTGTGAAATTTATTTGTAGTAAGTTTATTAGCTAGTTAGATTTTTTTATTCAATCTTTTGATGAATAACAAAGGGAATTTTGTTATTTTCAAGACAAGTTCTAAAGGTTATCTGCTTCCCTCATTTATCTAATATATTTCTTCTTTCTAGTATCAATTTACACCTGAATACTGTGACATCAAGAAAATGTAGTAGTCAAATGGAGGTTCTACGATGCTGCTTTTGCAAAAAAAATAACAAATCATAATCACAGCTATGTACAACCTTTATCTCAACATTTAGAAAATGGAGCAGATAGGTTATCTATCAGCAAGAGGATTTTCATGTCACCAAAATTCCATGTGCATGTGTAGTTGTAGGCTGTCTAAAAATCACTGGAGATAGTTGATCCTCATTAAACACCGATGATGAAAGTTACAATTTGATGGCTTCCAGAAGGCTATAATTTAAAGATTTTCATATAGATCAATGAAGGTTACAATCTGACGATCTTCACAACAACTGATAAAAGCTCTAATCAACAGCCTTCATAATCAAAATGAAGGTTACAATCTGACGATCTTCACAACAACTGATAAAAGCTCTAATCAACAGCCTTCATAATCAACAGCGAGAGTTACAACCTGACGACTTCACAACAACTGATAAAAGCTCTAATCAACAGCCTTCATAATCAACAGCGAGAGTTACAACCTGACGACTTTCACATATCAAAGAGCTGAAGCAAATATTACAAAACGACGATCTTTGCAACGCTCTGATAAAAAGAGACTACAAATTAACGGTCTCCTCAAACCAAGACGCGGAATTCCTCCCCGCGTTTCAGCATCAAGACACAACGCCAATTCAACCGCGGACGCAGCTCCTTATCAGCCATCGCTGACGTAGTTCAAACCTACGGACGGAGCTCATGTTCGGCCGCAAACGCAGCCTCCGAAAGTTGCCAACGCAGCTTTCAACAAGCTGCAAACGCAGCTTCTAAATTGTTGCAAACGCAGATTCCAAATTGCTGCAAACACAGCTTCCATATGCTAACGCAGCTTCCAGAAGCTGCAAACGAGCTTCTAGATGCTATGTTTGGACGCAGAATTCACGTCAGAATGCGGATTTTGCGTTTGATTCGTTCAAACACGAGCTGAACGGTTTTAAAACTGTTTTTCACGATCTGAGGGGATCACAACTCCACTCAATAGTGATTTAAGGGACGGTTACATCCCATTAGCCCCACAAAAGAGTGATTTTAGGGGCGGTTACACCCCCTAATCGCCTATAAATAGCTAAAAGGACAGCTTAGTTCAGGGAGAGGGGGGTATCTTTGGATCTTTGAGAATTTTGGAGATCTAGATATCGGCTTCTTCGGATCTTCTCGGCAACAGATTCTTGGGGCTATCTTCGTGCTTGGCTTGTCTAACCAATTACGGTTAAGATCAATCAACTCTTTTACAAGAGTTTAAACTCGTTCTGAGTTATCAACTCGTTCTGAGTTATCAACTCGTTCAGAGTTTCAAACTTGACACGCAAGTCCTGTACAGCGTCAAATCGTGAGAAGATACCGTTCCAATGAAACAAGACGTTCGGATCGTCAACGAGAAGCAAACTCGGCGTGAGCATTCAAGGGAGACATCTCATCGCTACCGTGAAGAACCCAGACTTAAACAAATGGGAGAATTCAGATCAATTCTCCTCTCTTTTGTAATCGAAATTCAAATTGTAATTAAGATCGAGAGAATACAAATCAAATTTCTTTTATTTTATTTACTACAAATTTTTCACCAAACATCAGTGCTTTAAAACTCGCCCGATTTTATCAATTTATCGCCAATATATCAGGTTTGGACCATGACCGATACGATATCTGCAAAAAATTATTGCATATCATTTTTGGACAAATTTTCCCAATATATTGGTGTAAATCCAATAAAGTGGTTGATTTCTCGTGGTCTAAAAATACTCAATTTTCTATAAATACAATCATAGTGAACTAGCTCGGAATTGGAGACAAAAACCCTCTTTTTTCTATACCCAACCCGCATCCACTGAATAAAAATAGCACTACCCTATTCTACTCCACATCCGCTAAACAAAAATAATTGGTAAATGATTCTAAATGTGTGTTATTTACATGTTAGTATGTTTATATTTTATTAAATGTGCTTAGATTACAGTTTAGGACATTACTATATTATATATGCTCACCATTTGGTATGACATTCCGATTTTTACTACTTATCCCCGATAATTGGGATCCGGTATGAATTTTGGTCGTATAATATATTTATATTTCCGAGAACTGATAATTAAAACCTTGTGCATGTGTGTTGTGTACAAAGCAGCCCACAACACATCCAAACACCTGCTTTAAGTTTTTTAATGGTTTGTTCAGATTTCGGAACATCTAGCAATGTTAAGAGTTAAGAACAGTCTAAAAGTATTAATGCCAATGGAACGAGAGAAACTGAAGATAAACAAATATACACTAAGTAGAGGTAAACAAATATGTGGGGAAAACAGAGATTGCTGATTACCTCCTGTTTTTGAACCCTTTCTTTTTAGATGCATTCTCTATCCCTCCATTTATATCAACTTCTAGGATATCCTCCAATTTTCTTGTTTCAAGTAAATCATCTCCAGCTTCACACTTCTCCAATGATGAAACAAAGAAGTCTTTAATCTTCTCACGCCCCAGGACAGAAGCCAAACAGCCAATTGCTTCCTGTTAACACAAGGAAAATCTAATATATCAAATTAGGCACATTCTGTGCATCACAGATAGTAAAAACCCTGAATAAGAATCTAAAACTGCTAACAAAAAGTAGACAAAGAGAGAACATTTATATTAAGTTGAGGAAGAATTATATAAATTAAGGAAAAATTGTTTACTCTATATATTTCCAGAAAGTGTGAACAAAAAGTAGTTTCTCTTATACAACCACGTGTCTGTATACAACACTATAGGAATGCTACTCTTCAGTAATCTGAGATAGAACTTAAAATTATCATTAAGTTGAGACCCTTAATACTACTTGTGAATCTATAGCACCCAATCCCGTTTTTATTATACAGTTTGGCCTCAAAGTAAAGAGTAAATCACAGAGAACTATAAGTATTAACCAGAAATTGATTCCCCCTAAAACTCAACAATCTAGAGGTTCTTATAGAACCCTTGGGATTAGTTCCCTCAATGAAAACCAGTCCTTCCGCTTAAAGATTGAATGCAGACTCAAAATGTCAATACTGAAATGTACTTTTAATTTTTATTAATATATTACTTCAGTTCTATTCCCTGTTGAAGCGATTTTGTAGAAAAATAAGGTAGTCTTACTTAAGTCATTTAAACAAAAGAGAAAATGGCTTCCACATCAAGACAAGAAAAATATTTTTCCACATGTGAGTTGGTGAGATCTATCTTAAACGAAATTTCCCTAACTTGCAAATTCGATGGTAGAAAATTATGTTCTCTAGATCAAATAGCTATGACCGAGCAAAAAGATCACAAACCTTCAGGAAGTGCTTATCAGGAGGAGAATCCCAAAATATATCTGTAAGAACCCAGAATAACTCCATGGAGCTGCAGGCTAATGCCTTAATGTTCCTAGATGCAGTTTTCTCTGAGTAGCAATTAAACAGATCTCTGGCTTCACGCTTACTTAATTCAAGTGCAGAGCGAAGATCAGCACTAGGTTTTGCACCCTCATTGGGTTTTATGAAGCTTCTGTTTCCATTCACAAGCTCCTGGAAAGGAACAGAATGCTAGAAAATTAGCAGATAAACAGCCCATGTAGACATACTGTAAAGATTGATTATGTTAAAATTGATCTGATTCGTTTTACCAATTCCTTGTATGTTTTGTTCTTCATATGTGTATAGACTAGGTATTATAATGAATATATGTGGTAAGAAGGGGTAAAAAATCAGTTTGATACATGGAACTGCAGTACATTCGGGAGCATTTGCCCATGTGAATTTACTAAGTGGTTGCATTTCATGTGTCAGCACATACAAAATACATACTGATATATTAGATGACACATTAAGAGTCAAAGACTATGAGTCTATAATAATGGTAGCCCAGGTCATAGCAATGTTTTAGAAAGCGCTAGGCGTTTCTAGGTGCCAGACCAGGCGCTTAACCCCCAGGCACCTAGGCGGATGCTTAAGCGGCAATTAGGTATTTTTAGCATCAAGAGAAGAAGGATTGTTTTCAAAGATTCAAATCTTATCTACCATTGTTGTGTACCTCATATAGCCTTGGATTTAGAGTTTTGATCCAATCCGTTTTGACTTGGCCTATTCTCTTCATCCATTATTATGCCTAAGCGAGCAATATACCCCTTTTTATGCGTTGCAGTCTACGCAAGTGGCTCATGCTCCCCTAGGCGCCCAAAGTATCACTTAAGCCCAGGCAAGCGCTTAGGCCTAGGCAGGCGCACAGACCGCTTTTTAAAACAATGAGTTTTAGTAACCACAAAGTCCCTACTGGCTACTGATACTTAAATTCAAAAAAATAGGAGCAGCCATGTTACTACAAAATAAAAATATGATATTTAAAAACCTAAAAGAACATGATGGCCCTTTTCAAACTAAAAGTCAAATGAATAATCCAGGTTCAAACTCCAACCTTCCACTATAATATTCTCATAAACCGTGAATAAGTAAAAAAGGAAAACCTAAATACTAAAGGAAAAAATTACAAGACAAATCTAGTCATTACTCCATTTCAGTTAGTTCTTGCCGCACAAATTTCAGCCATCCAAATCCGGAAGGCACCACCATGAATAGTTTAATGCAAAGTGAGTCAAAGGGGGCCTTGCAAATAAGATAACCCGAAGCAATAACATATTGAATTACCATTACCTTCACTGCACTCGCTACGGTTGCATGCAAAGATTGACTTTCTTTCAGCATAGCTATAAGAAGCTTGGACAAGTCACTAAAACTCTTGGAAGTATCAGTAGGATAACGGCAGAAGGCTGGAAGCAAGTCCATTAGGCCATGGAAACATGACTGCAGACCTTTTAGCTTGGATGTTTTCTTAACTGAATAAGAAACAAATGACAGTTTTTCAGATGTTTATGCTTTTGGTATATAATTGGAAGCAATTAATGCACATACCTTTCTTACAAGCATTCTGCACAGATTCTGCAAGGGGTACAACACACTCCATAAAATACTGCAATGATGCTCCTATCACATATCTCTTCAAGACAGGTAGAATCCATGTATTTGAGCAAGTTGCTTTGTCAGTATCAAGAGATATTGGTACAAGCGAAAGTACTTTCTCAGGTCCCATTGCAATTATAGCGGTCCCAATACACGCCTCAACCTGATGAACAAACAAAGATTTTCAGCACCTATAACGAGCTTGCAACTCAGCTGTACTTCTGTACTCAAAGAATACAGAAAGAGTACTGTGTAACTTTCTACAACTCAGAGAAATAGTAATATCTCAAATAAAAATATAAGTCAGTAAGCTTTACGAATTACATTTATATTGTTGGACTTACATGCTTCATATGAGGAGATTCCTCTTTCAAATGCATTGCCTTCTTTGATAATTTAAGAAAGATTCCCTTCATTAAGAAGAATGAGAATTCACCTACAAAATAAATTAGAAGTAGAACAATATAGGTCAGAAATAGTTACCTACATAGCATGTATGACACGGCAAAGATCGGTAGAGCAAATTAATATGTATGTCAATAAATAAAACAGCACAGAATACTCACAAGTAAAACAAATGGTGCAAGATCACTGCTGTGAAAAATGGTGCAAGATTTCACTTAGTAACACAGTGTACTTGATTACTAGAAAATTGATAAATTACAACTATATGCATAGAAGTATATATAATATGAATTTATAGTGTAGCAGAGGCTTGTTTACTTTTTGAACAGAAGAAAAGAGGACTGATTTGAAGGAGTTGTGACTGTAGATATAAAGGGGGTCAGGAATTTAGACAGGTTCGGGCTAGGGCTTAGATGAGAAAGAAAGAAAAATATTGTAGTAGGGAAGATTAGGGTTTGGCCTCACTAAAATATTGTAGTAGGGAAGATTAGGGTTTGGCCTCACTCCTCCATCAAACACTTTACACGCAAAATATTTAAATTGTCATATCCAATGAAAAACTAAAATAAGTACAATACTTATATTTTACATCCAACAGACTTGAATTGAAATAGCACAAAGACTCTTAATCTTAAACCAACTAATTTCCAAGCAAACTAATATTTTCCAACAAAATTCTAGCTCTTACTGAACTAAATTTTCAAAACAAACTAAATCTCCAAACCAATTCTAGTTCTAGGATGAATTTGCTCCCAATGTCAAAGTTTCATGTGAAAATTTTGAGGCAAATCTAATTGATGTCCTGCGGAAGGGACAGATGCAAAACAAAAAGACCAGTTAATCTAGGTAGAAGGAATGAATTCAAAACATGGTAATCGGGAACACTGCATTAAAATTGTACAGCTTGAAATAGTAGAAATGTACTGTTCAAGAATATAAATAGAACACAGATGAAACATGAGAACGCCTTATTACAAAAGAAAATACACTGCTATAAGCCCTTACAAGCAGAGAATATTGATTAACCTTTTTTTAAGAGAGACAAATTATTCAGAATTAGGGTGACAAATGAAAAGGAAAAGAAAGAATGTAAGGGGCCTTTGCCCCTTAATAATGAAATTAGTAGTTGAAAGATAAGAAATGATGCATATGATATGAGCACGGAGTGATTGAACATACCAAGTGCAAGGAACAAAACTGAAATGACTGCCAATATATTCTCAGTGGGAGTATCACAGGCACCAAGCATCTGATCAAATAAAGTACAAATAGATGTGACTGCCATCATTTCAGGGGTATCTTCATCATAATCACGCAATGGACTTCCAGTACTCAATAAAAGTTTCCGGTTTATATGTGTGTTGATCAATTCCTTCAAGATATTTTCAGCACACTTAGAAGTAGTAGCATCAGAATTCAAGTAACCTGAAAATTCCAGATGACGGTAAATAAGTTCAAATGGAGTAAAACTGTCATAAAATTTATTAATTTTAGAATCTGAAAATTAGATTGCGAGATTCTGATTCACGAGTATAATACGCACGGCACTTCCTAATGGAAGTTGGCACATGCATAGATTCATGTGCATATATATATTGGCTACCAAATACGTATTGAGTGTAAATTAACATTATATCAACAGGGTACCTGATTTGGAAATGACAGTGCAGAAATAGTCTATAAAGAGAACTCTAAAAGACAACATAATTCATTTTCTCAAATTTAAGACCATTGCTGAAAATCCAGATAAAATTTTCCATCAGCTGAGAAGATGATCACAGTATGAGGTTTGCACCAGGAATACTGTAACGTTGTACCAAAGTCGTACAAAAACCATCTTCCTGTTCTAAAAATCAATATCTGACAGCCTATAGTAATGTGGTTCAACAGAGTACGTTCCAAAATGGATAAACATCAACTGGATATTACCCAGACTGTAGGGGGAAACTCTTAACGGCTGTTTAACAATTTTAGCAAGAAGAAAGTTTGGTACACATTTTCAAGCAAAGTTATTACCGAAAAGTGTAGAATTTGGTAGTAAAAACATTTTCATACCTAAAAAATGGAGATTATGTCTTTGGAACTGTATGATGATATACAAGCATCCATATTCCATTATAATGACAGGAACACAAACAAATACACACAAACATATAATCGTATAGTTATCCAGACAGATATACAAACACACATAAGACAGCATGTTAAATATTAACCGTTGTTAATATGAACACAATTTTAAAATACTAACTGATATGACTTCTGAATAGAACTTTCAGATAATTTTCAGAGTTTCATTATAGTCAAACTTTTGAAACCTCCTTGTTAGTATGTTACTTTAGAAGGACTTATTCTTCCAAAATTCAAATATATCTAGCATGTGAAGTTTTAGCTCATGCAATGAATATACCAGAGATTATACAGTGATTTTTCTCAAATGGGGGGAAAATTTTGTATCTACCTGCAATAGAACTAAAGATGGGTGGAAGAAATTTTATCCATAAGCTCGGCTGTGCATCGTGAAGCTTCTTCAGGCCATTTTTCAATAACATGGATGCAGAAATGATAGTATCAATCGGATTCTTATCAGTAGATATGTAGGATGTAAGAGCAGAAAGCACTTTCTCCGAGTCAGAAGCAAGATGTTCAATTTCTGTCCATTCCACCAGTGCTTCGAGAAGCTTAAGAATGTGCCTCGTGCGCGATGAGAAGCTATGACCCAAGAGTTTAGAAGCACTGGACAGAAGCCTTATCCTGACTTTCTCAGATAGGCTCGGAACAATAACTGTTACAACATTGAACATATGGAGCGCTTCCAGTTGCTCCGACTCTGACTGTATCTTCGAACCCGACTTCTCTAACAGAGGCGTGTGCTTCTGGTACATAGAGTGCACAGCTTTGCTTCCGTTTTTTATGACAACGCTGCTCCGAAAAGCTTTAAAAAGATTCTCAATGCATGTTTGAGCACATTTCCGGACCTGCAGCATTAAAGTTTCACATTTTTATCTTCCTCCATCGCAAATATACTAAAAACAAGGGGGTCACTTGTTGAGTACCTTGGGCCGCTTGTCGACGGCATAGCTAAGAAGCATCTGCAGAGGCAACTCCACCGAAGTCCAATCCTCCAGATCGACGAGGAGAGACAGCACACCCAATGACTTGATCAGGGATCTGACCGTGCCGGTGGCCAGGCTGGAATCAGGATCGGTTCCTGATGTCCTCAGCAAGAACTCGGAGAGAAGAAAGGCGGCATCTTTGGCCTTGGGCGGGGGCAGCGCGAAGGAATCGCCGATGAGAACCGAGAGGAGAGAGGCGATTGCGGCGATGGAATCGGGATCGGAGCCTCCGGGCAGTCGCTGAAGGCGGTGATGGCGGCGGCGAAGTAGGCGGAGGAGTGAGGGGGGAGGCCCTCCTCGAGGAGGATGGATCTCATGGCGGCGGCGCGGCGATGAGGGTGGCGATGCTGAGGGGGCCTTCGATTTGGAGGTAGCGATCGGTGAGGGCTTTGCAGACGTCGAGGAGGAGGATGAGGAGGGCTTCTGCTGATGCTTCGTCGTCTTCACCTGCTGCTGTTTCCGTGTCCCTCGTTTCTTTGGGTTTTCGTCGGCCGGGATTGGGCTCGGCTTGGGATCTCCTGTTCTTATTATTCTTCATATATGCTTATTATTAATAGGGTTTAGCAAGGAACGGGCGAGAGTGGAGGAGAGGAGCGGAGGGAAGGGGAACTCGCAAATTGGAGGGAGGGAGAGACGGGGGCGTGAGGTAAGAAGAGGGTTTTTCATCTACCAGGGTTTTAGCAGTATTTAAGGTTAATTTTCAAAATAGACCCATTAGTAATTTTTTTTTAAAAAACCGATCCCCTTTGAGATTTAATTGTCATTTTCGACCTAGTTTTAACCACCTGGTTGAAACTGGGTAAAAAAGGCCAATTAAAGTTAGAAAACTTGTGAGGTTTAGTGCTTGATTAACCATGCTAATGAAGCTGCAGAAGTTCGAAAACTTCACGGGATTTAAAATCCTGTGAGGTTTAGTGTTTGATTAGCCACACTAAACTTCACGGGATTTAAAATCCTGTGAAGCTTTTGAACTTTATTTACCATTTTCGACTTAGCTTCAGCCACACGAAAATGGTAATTAAATTTCGAATGGGTCCATTTTTAAAAATAAATTTCTAATAGGGTCTATTTTAAAAACTTGTCTCATACTTTTAGTTAATTTTAGAAAACCCCCTCCACAATAGGGGTGTACCAGAAACCCCAATCAAATACTTTAATTTGCCAAAAAAACCCTAGTTGTAGATAACCCATCAATCAATTTTAGAACGCGCTCTTAAAGATACTATCATTCACGTCCTCCCTTACATGAGCGATGTGTTTGGTAACTCTTACAAAACTAGGGCTATGATCAAGCTTGGCTCGGTTTTGATCTAAACCAACTCCCTCTTGGTCTACCAAAAAAACCCTCCATCAACTATTTTAATTTACTAAACCACCTCTTAAGTTGGGGGTGTCGTAGATAACCCATCAATCAATTTTAGAAATCCACATTTAGTATTAACTATTATTCACGCCCTCTATTGCTTTACGACTTCAATGTTGTATTATATATCAATATTTTCTAGCGCCACTTGAGGTCATTGGTGAAAGAACTCATTGTCATGTTTCTCAATTTCGATGGATCGTTATGAGATTTTTTTTTTTCCCACATTTTTGTAGGCTAGACTTTCAGAGTCTTCGCATTTTCATAAATTTCTGATTAGATTCAAGGAATTTGCGATTCCACCGAATCTAGTGCACAAAATCTACTATTTTGAGAATAATATATCATCCTTACTCTTTCTTGTAGCAAGGGCCGCAATTGGGCAATGCTAGAGCCATAACTCAAAATCATGAAACACTTATTCGGTTTCTACAAGGTATTACTTCTATAAGAAATGCTAGGGGCACACCCCAAACCACACCACCAACCACACTCCCCTCTCCCCTTTGCTACAGTACACGGGGCCCCACATGGGATTTTAAAATTTAAAATCCCATGTGGGGTCCCGTGTACTGGAGAGAGAAAAGTGTGGTTGATGGTGTGATTTGTGGTGTGCCCCTATCACCACTCTACTTCTATATTCTCCCAATAACTCATTTTCCCCTCTTCATCTAAATTAGTGCTTGCTTCTCTTTTATGTCGTTCTCTCACAATACTTTATTCGGATTCATTTTCATAAAAGAATAAAAAAGGCTTGTTATTATTATTGTTACATGCCTTGCTAATTATTACTAGTGGTAGCATTGGCGGAGCCAATGGTCAATAGGGGCACCTGCCCCCTGCCACCGGCATAGACACCTACACTAACCATGCTCAAGGTAATTAACTAAGTTTTCAAGGTTAAAATGGCCTCATGTTTGCATCATTGCGCTTGGTTACAATCATAAATGGCTCCGTATTTTCATTATTGTGTGCTCAATTATAGTCATCGAGATTTTGAGTACGTATGGGAAATCATTAATTTTGACATTATCGTGAAATTAGGTCCCTTTGCCTGCATTTATAAAATCACTTTCTAATTGGTTTACTTGTTCTAGTTGTTTTTAAGTTAGTTGCTGGTAGTTATTGGCTTTAAGAGACTAAGAAAATGATCCATATAAACTGCTTCAAGCCTAATTAAATGGTAAAGATGCATCTACTTATATGAGAAAATAAAAGTATATTTTTCACTTTTTATATGTTTCGGGCCTTTTGAATTGCAATTGACACGTATTACGATGAAAAATTACAATAGAACAAAGGAAAAATTTATATTTCTTGGAATTCTTTTCTATGTGTCGATGGAGCGTTGATCTTGTACTCTGTTGATGGTCTGACTATGATAATGGGTCTTTCATTGATTGACAATCTCTAATCTCTTGAAAGATAGTGTAGTCTTCTTTGGATGAAGAGATATTAACATATCTTTTCTCGCAAAAACTGTTGATTAAGCTAGATGACTAGCTGAAGAGAACGAATCCTTTCTCACAAGGATCGTTGATCGGACCAAATGATTAGCTGATGATAATGATCTATGAAGATTAATGAGAATGGATGAGAGATGAGTTTTTTTTGTTAATGTAGCCTCTGAATCTCTCTCTCGCTATCTCTCTTCTCAATAGCAAAGAGTCTAGCTAAGATAATGCTAGCCCCAATACCTTTTCCTTCCAAACCCCTATGCCTTTTTGTCTCATGTTGATCATGTCTATTTATAGGCTTCAGAGCATTAAGGGGCCGTTTGGTTGGTTTCCTAAAAACAAGAAAAGGAAATCGGTACAAGGAAACCAAAAAAATAATATTTTTATCCATTTCCATCCCTAAAACTCACCCACAACATCCAATAAAATAATATTTTTATCCTCCAACTCATCTCATTTTTTACCTTTAAAAATAAACCAAACACAAGAAATGTGTCACATCATCCAACTCATCACATCTCATCTTATCACATTTTTAAAAATCACACACATCATCTAATAATATTGTGACAACTCATATCATCTCATTAAAACTTCCTTTCCATCCATTTCCTTAAAAAAACAAGAAATTGATTTTCTTAAGTATGTGTCACATCATCCAATAATATACCTCCAACTCATCTCATTTTATCTATTTTTTTTATTTTTAAAAATGAACCAAACACAAACAACCTCAAAACATCATCTAATAATATACCTCCAACTCATTTCCTTATTTTTTTAACCAACCAAACAACCTCAAAACAAGTTTTTTTTAAAAAAAATCACTCACATCATCCAATAATAAGGTGACAACTCATCTCATCTCATCTCATATTCTATAGTTTAATCACTCACATCATCCAATAATAAGGTGACAACTCATCTCATCTCATCTCATATTCTATAGTTTTCTTCTTTTTTAAGCCAAAATAAGGTGACAACTCATCTCATCTCATCTCATATTCTATAGTTTTCTTCTTTTTTAAGCCAACCAAACAGTCTCAAAACAATTATTATAGGAAATAAGTTTTCTATTCTTTGATTTCCCAATTTTTTTTGCGAAACGAACAGCCCCTAAGTGGGCGAGTTAGTGGACCTTAACCCCCCTTAAATAAGTGAGTGTATTCATGAAAAAATATGATAAAAAATCCACGCCAAAATGAAGTGTATTTTTTTAAAAGATTGTTAAAGATCCACACTCATGAATATAATTGTGCAATATCTTAAGGGTATCCATTCTATGCTAAATATTTCCATATTTAGACATGGTGTATGACGCTCTCTAGACACTATCATTCTTCCTCTTAAATTTTTTTTATATGGTTGATGTGATAAATCGAGATTTTAGACCTTTTCTTAATTTCGAGATATTTCAAGTTGTGTAATAAAAGAAGAAGTTCAAACTAGATAAGATATATCTAATTTTTTTATGAACTAATATAATTACTTTTATTATTATTTTTACAAACTTTTCATCAATATCTTTGTAGTTTGTGTGTGAATTTTAATATGACTTATCATTGTGGTTCACTTGATTTGAAGTTATATATGTATCTCTTGTGCTATTTTCTACAAATTTCTTTGTGAAGCAATGTGTATTTCTCTATCTTTCACCTTTGGATAATTTCTATCTAATTTTTAAGTATATTGCATATTATTGGTGTGTTTTTTCTTTTGCTAATAAAAAAAGGGGGAGAAAAGGCGAAAAATTAAAATATTTTATATGTGTTTGTGCTTAATAAAAGTTTTCTCAAATTGCTTTCATGTTTGGTTTTTTATTTTGAATATTTTTGAACACTCGATGCTTTATTTCAAGGGGAGTTTCGGGAAAACATATATACATTTTTACACTTTTATGTATGCAATTTTTATAGGGGTAGCTTTGCATATCATCTATCTTTTGTATGAAATATGTTATGTGTTTATTTTGTACTGAATATATATTTTACATTTTGTATTTCAAATTTTGAATTTTGTTATCATTAAAATGGAGAGATTATCAGAACATTGTTCGTGCAAGAATATTTTTCATGCAGTACCTCTTATTTGATTAATAACATACTCTTTATTTGCTGTTGATATGTTTTGTGAAGTAATATATTTTAATATAAAGAGGGACAAGCAAGATGCGATTGGAAATGAGGAAAAATGAACACAAACGTTAATTTCAGCCTTTCGAATCATCGATAGTCAAGAGGCACCTATCGATGGTTATAAGAGCCAATCGGAGAATAACAAAAATAGGAGCGAGCATCATTGATGGTCAATAGTGACTAGTTATAGGTAACAATTAAAGAAATGTAGAAACCAAAATCAACACCATCGATTGCTATGATGGTACCATTGATGATCACTAAGGGACCATCGATGGTCTTGATCCATTATTGATGATTACGACGTGTTTTTATAGTTTAGCAGGTTTTTAAGATTTAATCTCAATTGTTCGCTAAACCATTTGATCTCTTATTTACACTCGGATTTGGCTATATTTTTCCTATCCTATCAAGATTTGTTTAAAGAGAGCTGGAGATCATAATAAAAAAACATAGATAAGTTCGAGGAGGCAAATATAAAAAATAAAGATCTTTGATATCTCTAATCATTTATCAAAACATATGCATACTAAGTAAAATGTCTACACATCGGCTCTCCGATCAATCCATAATTAATAGCTAAAAATTTACCTGATAAAAACATACGGCAATGTATTTCAACATAACTCAATCTCATCTGGTCCTAGTTGGAGACATCACAGCATATATATAAAATACACGAATTGTGGCATTAATTTGAGCTGGTTTTTTTTGGTGAGTACATGAAGGCTATGTCTCAAAAACACGAATTTTTTTTAACTCGGTACAGTTCTTGTAAAGCCAACTTGCATGAGGTCCGCTAAGAGTAGTACTTGGATCCTAGTCAGGGGGCGGTAGTACCTAGTAGTACCCTAATCCTATGTGAAGCTATGGTTTGCCATCCAATCTGCACATTTATTAGACTCTCTGTAGGTATGATTAACTCTTACTGTCCACTCCCGATGTAACAATTCATCAATCTGAGTGATCAGTTGCGAGGGACAAAGAGTACGCTTCTTAGGTTCAAATAATGAGACCAACTCCTGAGAGTCACATGCAATAGATAGATGTCAGAATCCCAAATTCCACGCAAGTGTGAGGCCTTCAAATAGACCCCATAATTACGCTTCCTACTATCCACTCACCATTGTGACCTCGGATCAAAGCCCCATAGCCCCCCAGCTTGCAGTTACTTCTATATGCGCCATCTGTGTTCAACTTAACCCACCCTTCTTCCGGAAGCTTCCAATGAATAACAATTATTTTTTCTATAGGAGGATTAGTACCTGGTGTATACTCAAGAGTTTTTTTACTTTCTGTTACTAGTTTCCAGATTGGCGGCAGAGGAGAATCATGTCTTAAATGCCCATCTTCAGAAATGTCTTTGTTCCTCCAATTCCATAAGAACTAGACAACAACGCCCCATTTTAAACTCCAGTAAGCTCCAAGGCTATTGTCATCAGTTCCATCCTTGTTGATTTCCATCCATTTCCAAAGGTTTTAGGAATAAAAGTCGGTGGGTGTATTGCCATTTAACAAACCATCCCAAACACTCTTCGCATTTTTGCAGTCACAGAGGATATGTAGTTCAGATCAACCATACCATAGCAATTTGGGCAGAAAGGAGAAGCTCTAGAAATTTTGTATCAGGTCTCATTTGTCGTGATTCCCTTGTGTGCCACTCTCCAAAGTGATAATCTAATCCTTTCCATCCCTAGCCATTGCCAGATTAAGCCCTATAATTTCTGTTTCGGTGGTGCGCTATCTTTCTTTAAGGAGCGATAAGCTGATTTAACCGAAAAAATCCCCTTTGAAGATAAAGGCCATATTAAGTAATCATCTCCTGCATTGTTCCTTGGAGGCGGAACAACACTTATGTGGGGTAGAGCTTCATCTTTCACCCAATGTCTTATTTTGTCCTAGTTCTATTCATGCGCATTGGTGGTGAACTCCCTTACAGTTATATCTTGGAGTTGTTTTGGAGTCACTCTTTTTGCCATATTGATCAAAGAATTCTCCATCTCCGTCCACTTATCAATCCAAAAACGTGCTTTTGCACCATCCCTGATAGCTCATCTTGATTTGCAAATTGTTTTATTCCAAATGGTGGCCAAGTCTCTCCAGAATGTTGAGTTAGTGGGTGAGGCACGTACACCCCGTTCCCACTCTGATTTCCGGCCATACTTCGCATAAAGCACTCTAGTCCAGAGGCTATATTTTTGATTTATGCTTCTCCACACAAGTTTCATCAAGCAAGCTTCATTCATATCTGAGAGATTTCGTATTACCCAATCCTCCCATTGCTTTAGGTCAACGGATACGGTGCTAGCAATTTCAGTAAAATAAGTTTGATCTTGGCAGGTGAAATCAGATTGATGGTGAGATTTGGCTGTATTTGTTGTTTTCTATCAACCAACAGGGAAAGAAGATTCAAAGAAAAAAATAGAAAATGAAAAAAAAAAAAAAACAAGTTTCATCAAGCAAGCTTCATTCATATCTGAGAGATTTCGTATTACCCAATCCTCCCATTGCTTTAGGTCAACGGATACGGTGCTAGCAATTTCAGTAAAATAAGTTTGATCTTGGCAGGTGAAATCAGATTGATGGTGAGATTTGGCTGTATTTGTTGTTTTCTATCAACCAACAGGGAAAGAAGATTCAAAGAAAAAAATAGAAAATGAAAAAAAAAAAAAAATCCAGCCGAGCAAGGACAATGGGATGGCTAATCTATAAACGGTGACTGTTACAGGCCCAACGACACAAGTGGGAAGCCGAACAAGCCACCAGCTGGTCAACTTACTTGGTATCCGAAACAATAATGTCATTGGATTAGCAAAAGCAAGAAATAACAACAACAACCAACTCCTTTTTAAGTTTAATTTTTGTTGTTTTGATGAGAGCTCAAAAAGGACAGGCTGGGAGTGAGACATCATTCGTCCCCGCACAAACAATCCCAATCCCCCCCACTTTCCACTATTAATTATTAATTATTTGATTTAATAACATATTTATTTAATCTATTGATTATTATGATTACTTTGATTTAAATAGTAAATTTATTTGTTGGGTTGAGTTGAGTTGAGTTGAGTTGAGTAGATACAGGGACGATGGCTTACTCTTTTCTTTTCCTCCCTCTAATGACAAAGAACAAATTCCCTCCCTCGTAAACAATCCCCAAAAAAGAGAGAGAGAGCTCATAAAGCAAGATAAAGGGCTCCCCTTTTCTCTCTCTCTCTCTCTCTCTCTCTTCTTTTGCCCCCCTCCCTCTCGGGAGCATCTCATCTTGCCTTTCCCTTTTTCCAATTCCAATCTCCAATCCCATCTGGGTTTTCTCCGTATTCGTCAGATTCATCTTATTCGTTGAATTTTTGTCTCCTTCCATTTTCTGCGATCAAATTTTCGATTTTTTTTCCTGTCTTTTTTTGGGTGGGGTTCATGGTGTCCTCCTCTTTTCCCGAATTGGGCATCCCATACCATAAACCTAGCTTTAGCAACAGTCCCCTCATCATCGAAATTAGATGACTTAAGTTTTCCATCTGCACTGGTTTTCTCTGGTTTCTTTGTTGCAAGCTGCGGCGATGATCAGGTGACAGCTAAAGCTCCGATTTTTCCGTTTTTCCTTCTGATTTTGTTTTCTGGGTGTTTGTCTGTTTGCTGTGGAGTTTCTTTTGTTGGGCCTCCAGAATTTCTGACTGTTGTCACTTAACAATTCCCTTCGAAATTCTCTTGATTTGGATCTTTCCCCCCTTTGTTTTCCATGGGACTCTGCCATGGAAAACCAAACCCAACCCGTGAAAGGGGAGCCCCCCAACAACAGGAACAGATCCCTCAAATCCCCGACGACGACAACAACAGCAACAACAATGAGGCTCCTCCTCCTCCTCCTCCTCCTTTGCCCAAACCAGAGACACCCAAACCATCAAAGTTCCCCTTTTACAGCCCCAGTCCTTTACCCAGCTCTTACAAGAATTCCCCGGCCAATTCGAGCGTAAGCTCCACGCCCCTCAGGATCTTTAAGCGCCCATTCCCCCCTCCTTCTCCTGCCAAGCACATTAAGGCCTTTCTTGCGCGTCGCCATGGCTCGGTGAAGCACAATGAGGCTTCCATCCCCGAGGGGAGCGAGGTTGAGCTGGGCTTGGATAAGACTTTCGGGTTCTCGAAGCAGTTCTTCTCAAAGTACGAGCTTGGTGAAGAGGTTGGGAGAGGACATTTCGGGTATACTTGCACGGCCAAGGCTAAGAAGGGAGAGATGAAGGGGGAGGAGGTGGCCATCAAGGTTATTCCCAAAGCTAAGGTTTGTCCCTCTCCGGAATGAGATCTGGTGATGATTGATGCTACTACTGTGCTTGCTTTTCGTTGTTGTGTATGCTTTATGCTTGGATCTTATTCATGTCAAGGATTCAGATCTCATAATTTCAAGCATAATTGATTGCGATCCATTTACAATAAGATTTCTTGAAGATTTAATAAGCATTGTACATTCATAGTTATTCCTGTTTGCTTTCTCTGTCTTGTAGTGATCTTGTGCGGTTTGAATTTGATGCTTGTAAATGAGCTGTTATATGTTCTTTTCCTTTTTTTTCTTCCTCTTTCTTTAGAGTTTTCCTTCAAGTTTGTTGCTTCAATATACTCTGTTTGTCTTCTGTGATATGTATTATTTGACACGCTTTTATTGTTCTTTGGAGTCTTGGAGCTATGAACTGTTTGTCTGATTTCATTTATTAGTTGCTTTGTTGGTGGAGCCCCCAATATTCTACAGCCTTTAAGTCCTGTATAGGGGGGCTTGTAACTAGAAAGGTTGGCATCTGTAAATGTATTAATTGTTAACCAATGGCCTTTTGGCATCTGTAAATGTATTAATTGTTAACCAATGGCCTTACACTCGCATATAAATATAATCTCAGAATTTAAAAAAAAAAATAATTTTAGTGGTTAGCTCCCCTTTTGTGCTTCAGTGAAGTACATGAAATGAAATGGTTACTATATATGAAATTTAGAAGCCTGATCCATTTTTACTCACCATTACTCATCAGAAAATGGGGAGTAGACTGGCTATTGGAATTTGTGTCAGATATCACCGAAAGAATTATGTTGTTGTACATTGCCTACCAGATTGTTGTTGTATAGTTGTTAACATCCTTTAGTTTCTGACATAGACTTTTCTTAAGCTTATAATGTCCATTGCTATAATTTAGTCGTCTTTTGTTTGTTCTCTTTGTTTCCTGCATGGTGCTTCCACGTTCTAGCTACATTTTTGTGGGTATCTTGCGTTAAATGCATTAGCACGGGAAACTGCAGAGGTATTATCTGATAAGAAAACCAGGATTACCTTTTCCATAGCCTTGATTGTTATTTGTCAAGGAGTGAATATGTATAATTTTTTGGAATAGCCAGAAAAAGTTTTTTTCTTGCCCTTATGTCATTACTCTACATGTATGATTTTCTTAAATAACCTGAGCACCCTTTTCCATAACCTTCATTTGCTTGATATTTATAGTGTTTTTTGTTGTTGTTTCATATTTACAATTTCGTGGATATGTGTGCAGCCTGTCTGATATCAGTCACCATTATTAACTGTTACACACGCCACTTTGGCTATTTACTCTGCAGATCCTATTTAGCAGTTCTCTACTGAATTTATGGCTTAAATAATCTTTTATGATATTGATGACATTGCTGAAAGTGAAACTAGGATGCCATGGTTATTTGATGTCTAAATATCTCCATATAATCTCATACTTAATGCTTTGGCAGATGACCACCGCAATTGCTATTGAAGATGTGAGAAGGGAAGTGAGAATTTTGAGTGCACTCACAGGCCATAAGAATCTAGTGCAGTTCTATGATGCCTATGAGGACGAGGACAATGTCTATGTAGTGATGGAGTAAGTATGGAATTCACATTCTTGTTTTTCAATTTTATCCCTAATAGGGTTTTGCCTTTGGCTCAAATTAAATGTGAACATGACAACACTATTTCTCGACATAAACAGTGATTGACTCTAAGAATTTGTGGCCCTTTTTATTTTTATGTTAGTACTTAGTATAGGTGCATCATGACATATAATCAATTATGGGTCTGAAGTAGTGGAAACAACCCCTCCATATTGCATGCATAAGACCAACATGTTGACCCTCTCCAGACCCTACAATGGGGAGATCTCTCATGCAGTGGTCACCCCTTTTTCCTTAATTCTTGTGCCACTTACCTTACAGTTTTTGTTGGATTCTTGCTTGTATAAAAGTTAAGTTGCGTTTTTTGCACTTTTATATACCCCGAGGTTGCATCTCCTTTGTATGGAAGCATTTGAGCGCAAAGGCTATTGAAAACAGATTTTATTATTAGCAGGAAATTTGCATTCTTTACAGAAATGCATTCACTGTCAATAATGGCAATGCAAATGTAAATTTTCCCTTATACATCTTAAAATATTGGTCATTGTAGCTACCTTTTGTATTTTACTGTTCTGCTTTTGTCATCTTCATTTATCTGTTACTGTGTTAGACTGGATTGAAGTTGATGAAGTTGTAGAGGGCACAAAGGTGTCTTAGCTGTTTTTTTGTTTTTACTTCACCGCAGCTGTCACTCCCTTTTGACTTCCAATTGCAAATAGGCTTTACTTGTGTTTTAGTTCAAAAGATCTAAAATGCGGCTCATTTTCAAGCCCAGCTGTGGCGCAGCCCTTTATTTTAAATGACTTTAGAAGCATGTAATGCAAACAGTGATGACACTGCGGGGCTTGTATGTAGCTTTCAACCTAACCCTATACTGAAATAAATTCCAAGATTTATTATCCCTAAAATGTGTGCGGTTGTAATTTATATTCCTACTTCCGTTAAAATTTTGTCCACATTCTATTGATTTGGGAAACTATACTTGTATTTGGATTTGGAATCATTAGACGACTCTTATCTCTATGTGAAAGCGCTTGCAAGACATACTCTGCCTGAAAGTTCATACAAAATTGAATATAGAACTCAATGACATTGTTGTACTTGTATTCATCAAAGTTATTGTTTTACATTTCAGGTTGTGCAAAGGTGGCGAGTTGCTGGATAGGATACTTTCAAGGTACTTTCATATACAATCATTCATTTTACTGGTTAAAACTTCTGGCTTTTAGCAAGTATTGCAACCTAGTTAGTGGACTCTCAATTATGTTGCTAATGGCGTGTTTCAATTTAATCATTGTGCTCTTAACCATAAGAATTGATTGCTGCCTTACCCTCCTAACAGAGATGGGCAACTTTATTATTGTATGTCTTTATATATAGGGGTGGGAAATACTCTGAAGAGGATGCAAAGGCTGTCATGGTCCAAATACTAAGTGTCGTCTCCTTTTGTCATCTTCAAGGTGTTGTCCACCGAGATCTGAAGCCAGAGGTAGTCACATCCTCCCTCTCTGTTCCCAGCCTGCCCACTGACAATATGCCCTTGTCAGATTCCATGCCTACGTTGTTTTTGATGAATTTATACCTATTTCATGCTCCAGAATTTTCTTTTTACTTCAAAGGATGAAAATTCTACCTTGAAGGCTATAGATTTTGGCTTGTCAGACTTTGTGAAGCCAGGTTAGTATTCTGAATCTAAAGCCTGTATGAACACGTTGTCCGTCCATTTTCATTGTAATCAGCTTTAATCCTATTCTAACATTGTACCTCTTTTTTAAATGCAGATGAACGGTTGAATGATATTGTGGGGAGCGCATATTATGTTGCTCCTGAAGTTTTGCATAGATCTTATGGTACGGAGGCAGACATGTGGAGCATTGGTGTGATTGCATACATTCTACTCTGTGGAAGCCGCCCTTTCTGGGCTCGGACAGAGTCTGGTATATTTCGTGCAGTCCTGAAGGCAGAGCCGAGCTTCGAAGAGGCTCCTTGGCCTTCTTTGTCTATGGAAGCTAAGGACTTCGTCAAACGATTGTTGAACAAGGATTACCGAAAGAGGATGACAGCTTCCCAGGCTCTCAGTAAATATTTAACAGTCTTACCTAGGTTAAAAATCTGTTCTTTGATATATTGATGGGTAAACCCTGGTTTTATTTAACAGGTCATCCCTGGATCCGAGATTTCCAAGAGGTGAAGATTCCTATGGATATCATGATTTATAAGCTTGTGAAAGCTTATATATGCTCATCTTCTTTAAGAAAATCAGCGCTAAGGGTATGTTTTCCCCCCAAATTTCATTGTTATTATTTGCATTGTGACAAATTCAATTTTTTGTTCTTTTGAAGAGCTTTAGTTCTTCATAGGAATACAATTTTTTTCTATGTCCTCAATCATCATAAATGTTCTTATGCCAGTTGCTCCTGCTTTTTTCCTTGTTGTTGTTGTTGTTTTTTTTGGGGGGTGGGGGCGCTTTATGCCCGCTGCTGTACGAATTGATATAATCAAGTTATAGTATTTCAAAGTTAAAAAACATATTTTAGAATGTAAGCATACATACAATTTAACATGATGTTCTGACTGAAAACTGAGCTATATGATCAATATAATATTTTGTGTATGTTACAAATACCCTACACTTTCAACATTCTGATGAATGGGAAACTAAACTTACCTTTTCTGTTGGTCTCTTTGTTTTTTAATCATGTGACAGGCTCTCGCGAAGACTTTGACTGTGTCTCAGCTCTCATATCTTCGAGAACAATTTGCTTTGTTAGGACCAAGCAAGAGTGGTTATATCTCCTTGCAAAACTACAAGATGGTTAGCAACTTTTTTCCTCTGCTTTTGATGCACAGATCTCTCTCTTTTTTCCTCCACGATGTTAACTTTTGAATTTAAATGCATAGGCCTTGATGAAGAATTCCACTGAAGCAATGAAGGACTCGAGAGTTCTTGATTTTGTCAGCATGGTAACTAACTTCCCATAAGTTCATATATTTTATTGGAGATTTTGCTTCAGTGAATTTAAAAAAAAAAACTGTTTTCTTATCTTGCTTTCCTGGATGCACAGGTGAGCTCTCTTCAGTACAGAAAGTTAGATTTTGAAGAATTTGCTGCTGCATCCATAAGCGTGTATCAGCTAGAAGCACTGGACACTTGGGAGCAACATGCTCGCCGAGGTTATGAACTCTTTGAGAAAGATGGAAACAGACCTATCATGATTGAAGAGCTTGCATCGGTAATTATAACATTATCAAAATGGAAAAGAAAACCTTTTCTTTTTTTCTTTTTTTTGGTATGATGCATCTATAATGTCTATTCTGAATTCAGGAACTTGGGCTTGGGCCTTCTGTACCTGTTCATGTCGTTCTGCAAGATTGGATAAGGCATTCTGATGGAAAGCTTAGTTTCTTGGGTTTTGTGAAGCTTCTGCATGGAGTATCGTCACGTTCCATTGCCAAGGTCAGCAACTAGGTTATTGGAGCATCAGTCAGGAGCTGAACTGCAAGGCGAGGGAAACTGAAAAACGGTTAGGCTAGTTTATTTGTATGCGAGCGCAACCATAGCTTGCATGTATGTCCTGGTAAATTATTTCGCCTGTGTTTGGCTGTGTTGGACGGAGAATGTACAGATGAGGATATCAAGGACCGATGGTGAAAGGAAATTGAAATGTATTTGGGTGTATAACCCTACAATGCCCATTTTACTCCTAATAAGATTTTTAACTGTTCTTGCATTTATTAAGATGTGGAAACAAGGGTTATCGTGGAAGTGTAAGTAATTGTGGCTTGTGTAAAGGGTGTCGCCGGCATTTTGGTGATTCGCATCTGATTCTAGAAAAAAGACTGCTGTCTTTTTAATTAAAAAAACCCCGCAAAACTCATGTGTGGGTATATATATATATAGAGTATCAAATGGCTGTCTCGTATACTTAGTTATTATTTTTTTTTTGAGAGAAGGAAAGGATGAAGCTCCCACAGCTGTCTCACGTATTGGGAGGTACGTAAACCAGTATGGCTTTTGCTCGTAGAGTAAGCAGTCAGTTAATTTGGTATAGCTAATTATTTAAAGAAAGAGCTTCGCTACAGGACCTAAAATATGAGACCAACGGGGGACAAGTGAGGTTTCCTCCTCTTATTGCATAATGAATGATGACCAGCTCATTATGTAATAGGATTGAGACAAATAACCTGTCTCCCCTGTTGGTCCCATAGGGAATTTTTCTTTCTTGAATATACGATCAATAGAAAGGGGGATTCTTAGCAAAAGTCCAGCATTGATATGAAATGGACAAATTTTTAAAAAAGCCTCTTTTTTAAATTTATTAAGCAAAACCGACTGTTTAAAAATTTAATTAGCAAAACCGACCCTTTTCCAAAAAAAAAGGATCGGTTTTGCAGTAAAGATTTTTTTTAGCGAAAGTGCAGTAGTCCCGTGCACTTCACTTTAATTAACGCAAAAAAATCACTCATGGCTGCTGACCTTAGAAACCCAAAAAAATCACTCAATACATGTTTTGGAAAAACAAAAATCAGCCTTCAGAGCGGCACTCAGATTACCGCATAAAGATCATCATGAGACCAAGCTAGGTTGAAGACGACGAGAGGAAAAGAGAGCTCGAGCAGCAGAATCTTCAGGATCTTAGAATCTTTCAGATTGAAATCTAAATAAAATCTGCATCAAAGTCAATACATGTTTCAGAGATCAAAATCATCGCTTCAGTTTTATCTTCGTTTCCACTTGTGACCATTGATCCCAATTCATATGCCGCTTCAAGAGCTCTCACTTGATTAGTTTGATCCCATTTCGTCACCCTCTTCCTAGCATTTGGGAAGGGCCGGTAACTTGGCAAAAGTTCTTGAGGGTTTAGTGAAATTTACCAAAGTGTGATAGAATTAAATCTGAGGGACTAAACAGCAAATTCAATGATTTGAGGGACTGATTTTTTTGGGTTTCTAAGGTCAGCGGCCATGAGTGATTTTTTTGGGTTTCTAAGGTCAGCGGCCATGAGTGATGTTTTTGCGTTAATTAAAGTGAAGTGCACGGGACTACTAGTCCCGTGCACTTTCGCTAAAAAAATCTTTACTGCAAAACCGACCATTTTCTTTGGAAAAGGATCGGTTTTGCTAATTAAATTTTTAAACAGTCGGTTTTGCTTAATAAATTTAAAAAAGAGGCTTTTTTAAAAATTTTTCCATATGAAATCTGTGTTTCAATATATTCCCCTCCACAATAATAAACAACGCACAAGAAATCCTCAAGCGTATATCGTCCGTGGTCATAGCTACTGTTGAAATGGGGAAATGAAAGAAATATGTACCGAATTTGTAGTTAGTTTTATACGTGCATAGATAGAAGAGGACGGAGTAGGGGTCCGCCACAGTTGTATCGTTCCCTGGCTATCAGCAGACGACGACGACGACGACAGATCATCAACACCAATCATTGGACGGAATCTTATAATTGCAAATTTGTAGCCGATCGGGTTCTCTCTCTCTCTCTCTCTCTCTCTCTCTCTCAATAAACTATTATGTCCCTGACCAAATTCCAGACTAAAAAATCCCATTCAACATCAGAATTTCTTTCATTTCCCCCATTTCAACGAAAAGCATAAATATAAATAACAGTACTGGAGGCAGCCAGCAGCAGCCAAGAGATGACAAGAGCTCCTCCTCCTCCTCCTCTACTGCTCCTCCTCCTCTTGACTCTATCTTGTTCCTTCTTCGCCTGCGATGCCAAGAGAGCTGGAGCAGACCATGGAGGAGGAATCACGGAGGAGATCACGATGAAGCTGAACAAGAAGAGGGCTCCTCCCTCGACCCAGGAAGCTGCTGCCAGAGGTGTCCTCCACAGACTCCTCCCTTCTCATCTCTCCAGCTTCCAATTCCAAGTCCAGGTATCACAATTTCTCCCCTCTCCTCAATCGACGCAAGCGTGCTTCTCTCTCTCTCTCTCTCTCTCTATACAATGGATTGATCGCAATCCACAGCAGGATGATGCCTGTGGTGGAGCTGGATGCTTTCGGATTACTAATGTTGACCGTGGAGGACCAGAGATCATGTACGCATCTGAAATTCACTCTTGCCTTATGGTGATGCGCACCAGGTGTTTGATGTTTTCCCCATGAGATCAGCTTCTTATGCTCTTTTAATCATATGCATGTAGGATTCAAGGGACCACGGGCGTTGAGGTGGTGGCTGGCCTCCACTGGTACTTGAAGTACTGGTGTGGTGCTCATATTTCTTGGGACAAGACGGGTGGGTCTCAGCTGGGTTCAGTGCCTACACCGGGTTCGTTGCCACGTGTCGACCCTCAAGGGGTTACTGTGAAGCGGCCTGTTCCGTGGAACTATTATCAGAATGTCGTGACTTCTAGCTGTGAGTACCAGTCTTTCACACCCTTTGCGCCTTAGCAGCTTGGTAGCGTTATTGTCAAATGAAAGAAAAATGCCAATCTGTTTTGAGTAGCAATGATGCTAGGCACGAGCTATTATTAGATAGTAATTAGGACATGACATAAAGTTGACAACAACTAATTGAGGTCTTACAAGTTTGGCAACCACATTTCAAAAAGAACTGGAACGCAAATGGATCCATTGAGTTTCTTTTTTTTGTGTGGCCACTTCATAAATTTGAAGGCTTTGTTGCTCCTGCAACATCACTTCCTACTTTATCGTTTAAGGCTTTTATTTCTTGCACTTTAAAATCAAAGGCCGAGTTTCTCCAGCAAGAGGATGTCTGAATTCAACATGAATGTTGGAGAATTAGGGGCGAAGTTTGGTCAGGATAAATATCCCCTTTATTCGTAATTCTAATTTGTTTGGAGAAAAACTAGGATAATTCAACAATAAATTGCAAAATGTAGTAGTTTCACCTGTGGATATATTTCTCACCTTCTTTATTATTATGAATAATGCATGTTTTTCATGGATCATGTTCTTTGGAATTGCTAATTTTTTTTGTTTTTTTCTTACATAGATTCTTATGTCTGGTGGAACTGGGAAAGATGGGAGAAAGAGGTTGACTGGATGGCACTACAAGGAGTTAACTTGCCTTTGGCATTTACTGGGCAAGAGGCCATTTGGCAAAAAGTTTTTAAGGTGAGAAAACTATTCTTGTTCTACTTATTCTTAATGTACTCTTTTTTATTTACACCACAAATTATTAACTGTTAAGTTCAAGTAAATATAAGCTCAAATCCAGGAGTCTTGGTCCTAAAATTCTTTTTTTTGTGTGAATAATTTGCGAGACATACTGAGGAAATCAAAAGCACTCACGTCAGATAAGTAGTGGTTTTATTTTTGAAATGTTTATATACTGTTATGGGTAAGTGAATTCAATCAGTCCTACGGTGTGATGTGCCTCAGAAATTTGGCAAGGAGAACACAATCATCTAGTGATGTAAATAATACTAGGAATTCACCAAATATTCAGAAAATTCATTTAGTAGTTGGCTATAGGAGTCTGTCAAGTATCATATCAAAATTTAAAAATTTAGTGGTCACATTAGGAGTCTATCAAGTATCCAAAAATTCTTTAATGGTTGCCTATGAATAATTATCAGTTGACTGTACCTCTTACAAGCAAGTTACTCGTTTATTAATGCTGCGAACCCAAGCAATGATGGTGTCTCTACCACTTGAATGGTAAAATCACCAGACTAGTCCGTTTTGACTTTATTATTTATAGTGTACAAGTCTTTTGCCTATTTCTTTTCAATCTCAATTTAGATGGTGCAGATTGTGTGAGATTCATTTCAATTGATGGCGCTTGATGTTTCATTCTATGTACCAGTCATATACACCTGTTTCTTTTTTTTTAATATGTGTTTCACATTGGTATGATAGAGTGACGCTTGAGGGAGATGATTGTCGTATGTTGACTCCACTTCTCCATTTGTCTCTTGCTGATTATGAACTTCATTTCAGGATTTTAACATTAGCAGCGAGAGTCTGGCTAATTTTTTTGGTGGACCTGCATTCCTTGCTTGGGCCCGCATGGGAAATTTGCATGCGTAAGTTAAAGATGGATGAGGTGGCTTGATTTGTGCTTATAATTTTTATTCCCTTGTGATATTTTAGGTGAATTGTACATTTATTGAGATATTCAGATGGTAATTTGGTTAAACTTATGACATGGGAGATAAAGGACATTATTTACATTTGTAATTTATTTTCACCATTTTCCCATAGCTCAATGTTCCAAATCATGTGCCCCAGTCATAGGAATGGACAGGTTCGGACCATGCACTAAAATATGGGAGACATTTTTCCAAATTAAAGGGTAGATATATATATGCCCAGTTTCTTTCATGGCTCAATGTTCCAAATCATGTGCCCCAGTCATAGGAATGGACAGGTTCGGACCATGCACTAAAATATGGGAGACATTTTTCCAAATTAAAGGGTAGTGTTGCCTGCTCTAGATAACAGCCTACAACACCTGCTTTGTGGTAAGATAGTAAGATTGATATCAAGTAATTGCCAAAGGACTGTTCCGAACCCAGGATCTGCAGCTTGGCAACACAATGACTTGCCAACTGCTAATCGAACATTCACGAATAGTTATCGAATGAATAGCTGTTAACCCGAATTGTTCAAACATTAATCGAGTGTTCAACTCGGATTTGAACTCGGCAAAAGTGACCGAATTCAAATTCAAATGTGGTAGTACTTGATACGATTCTGTCATTTTCCACCCCTGCCTATGGCTTAAGAGGTCTTAAAATGTATGGTTGAGTAAATTGCAAGGTTTAATTTTATACTTTTATACTTTTATACTTATAGATCTTTTGGTATGTGGGTAAGGGAAATACCTGTAAAAGTTATTGGATATCTAGAATCCGTTATGGGTTATGCAGAAAGCTAGAGGCAAGGAAAGATGTCAATATCAAATATTGTCTTGTTTTGAAATACTGGCAAAGTTATTGATCAATTTTTTAGGTGTTGGGCGCAGAGTCACGACCACCGCCGCGGAAGCGATATGTCCTAAGAGAGAGCCCTGATTTTTGTTTTCACAAAAGTACAAGTCAAACTCGATATCTGTGTTTCGCGAAGGAAACCCAGACTCAGTAGCGAAATATCTCAGCGAAGTGAGATATCCACTCTTCCTCTCATCAGTGCAAGGACTGAACTATCGAGGGCACCTGCAAGTAAAACAAATAGTTATGACAATACAAAGACGAGATTTACGTGTTTTGGCAAACTAGCCTACGTCCACGGGAGGGGGTTTTCACTATGAGGAGAATACCAAACTTATTACAAGTTTTCTCTCAACTTGTTAGAATTAGTTCTTGGGTTATCGGGTTAGGACCCATTAACCCATTAGCCTATTACCCATATGTAACCCTATATATACCCATGGAGATGAATGAAAAGCAGGCTCTCTGATTTTCTCACTATCTAACATGGTATCAGAGAAGGGTTCTCCAAAACCCTAACCCTAGCCGCCGCTCTTCTACGAACCCTACCTCTTACCTTTGGCCGTCTTCCTACTCTCAGATCCAGCTTGCTTCGTCCTCGACTTCTTCGCGAGCCGCCACTGCTAAATCTCCTTCGAAGCTCGCCGCTGCTAACTCCGTCACCTGCTCCTTCATCGCAGTCGTCGTCGCCGCTGCTTCGTCTTCGAAGCTCGTCGTCGTTGAACCAGTCGTCATCGTCGTTGAACCAGATCTCTCGAAGATCCGTCGTCGCTCCTTCGAAGATCCGTCAAAGAACCGAAGTTGTTTGGGCTTGGATGACCTACGGGCCCTCTTTTTGTTGTTTCCTTCCTTTTTTTTTTTTTTGTAACAACAGTTGTTATGTTGGGCTTTTCAGTTGTTGGGCCTTCTTTAGTTTGTGCCTTGTATTCCGTTGTTGAAAGTTAAAAAAAAAAGTTCAAAAAAAAAACAAAAAAAAATTGACCCAAAAAAAAAAAAAAAACTGACCTTCGGGTTCCTTTTTTTTTTAACCTTCGGGTTCCTGACTGCTGACCTTCGGGTTATCTACTTTTAACCTTCGGGTTCCTGACATCTGACCTTCGGGTTATCCCTTTTAACCTTCGGGTTCCTAAAAAAAAAAAAGACCTTCGGGTTTTCTATTCTGGCCTTCGGGTTATAACCCAGGTTTCGCAGATTCTAACCTTCGGGTTTCTACTTTATACAAGGAGATTGTTACCCTCCTGTTCCTGTACTATCCTGTTCTGTAACAATGACAGGATCTGACATCTCTTCTGCTGCAATTACTACCCCTACTACTACTGATATTTCTGCTCCCAAAGTTGTATTGGGAACCACTGTGAAGTTAAATGGCACAAACTATCTTCTTTGGGCTCAGGCCTTTCGCATTTTCATTGGAGCTCAGAACAAATTAGCTCATCTTCTGGCCCCTCCTCCTGCTTCTACTGATCCTACGTATACCGCATGGATCTCTGCTGACTGCTGTGTGATGACCTGGCTCCTTAATAGCATGGAAGCTCAAATCAGTAGCAGTGTCATGTTCTCGAACACTGCTAAGGAAATATGGGATAATTTAAAAATTATGTACGGGAATGAGAAAAATGCATCCCGTGTGTTCGAGTTGTATGAACGTCTTTTTTCTATTCAACAGGGCGATCGCTCTGTACCCGAATATTTTGGTGAGCTAAAGAGTCTGATCGATGAATTAGAAATGCATCAGCCCGCTATTACGGATGCCGCGACACTGTTAGGATATCGTAGGGACCTTGCTGTCTCTAAGTTCTTGTCCGGTCTGAGTCCCACCTTGCAATCTCAGATACGGGGCCAAATACTAGGGGGAGATACTATCCCCTCCTTGACTGCTACTTTTTCTAGAGTTATGCAAGTAACCACTGGAGTACCTACTGCTTCTTCTACACCGTCCGCTCCATCGCTTGATCAGTCTGCTATGTTCTTCGGACGTGGCAGAGGTCGTGGTCGTGATCGAGGACGTGGCCGTGACACAGGGGGAGGACGTTGCACCTTTGGTGGCAGACATAATGACCTTGGCAAGAATCTTCGTCAGTGCATACATTGTGGACGGACTAATCACATCTCTGAGAAGTGTTGGGAGAAGTTTGGTCGACCTGCATGGACCAAGATTGCTGATACTACACCTACCTCTGTTGCTTCTCCTACTACTACTGCTCCCTCCACTATTCAGATTTCTCAAGCTGAGTATGACCGGTTGCGTCAACTCGATCTCTCTCAGAACAATTATTCTGCTACTCATGCATCCTCTTCAGGTATGGGTGCCTACATTGCCTCTCCTCATAGACCATGGGTATTAGATTCTGACGCTTCTTCTCATATGACGGGTCTTAAGGACCACTTTATTTCCTTAAACCTTTCTGACAAGTTTCCATCGGTCCGGATCACTGATGGGACATACTCTCCAGTTCTTGGTGATGGGGTAGTTCATGCTACTTCATCGCTTACTCTTACTGATGTTTTATATCTTCCCAAATTTCCTGTTAGTTTAATTTCCATCAGTCAATTCACAAAACACAACAACTGTAAAGTCACATTTTTTCCTTCTCATTGTGTTTTTCAGGACCTAGCAACTGGAATGACGATTGGTTCGGGGCATGAGAGAGGAGGCATGTACTATTTGGATGACAATATGCCTGCTACTGGTCTTGTTGCAGATAAGTCTGATAATCCTTTATTATGGCATCAACGACTTGGTCATCCCTCGTTATCGAAGCTTAAGTCTGTCATTTCTATCCAGTCTTCTATTTCTTCTTTAAGTTGTGAGTCTTGTGAACTGGGTAAGCACCATCGTGCTACTTATCCAAATCATATTGATAAACGCAGCAGTTCTGCATTCGAGTTAGTCCATTCTGATGTTTGGGGTCCATGTCGTGTACCTTCTGTGAACGGTTACAGATATTTCCTTGTCTTTATTGATGACTTCTCTCGCATGACTTGGCTTTATCTCTTAAAAGAGAGATCTGAGGTTTCCACCATTTTCGAAATATTTTATAAAGAAATCAAAAACCAATTTTCCACCTCTATTCGTATCCTTCGTACTGATAATGCTTTGGAATACATGAAACATGACCTCTCTCGTTTTTGTGCAAATATTGGAATTATCCACCAAACATCATGTTCTCACACTTCACAACAAAATGGAGTTGCTGAAAGGATGCATAGACACATTTTAGACATTGCTAGAACCCTGATGGTGCATATGAATGTACTAAAATATTTGTGGTCTGATGCAGTCCTTAGTGCATGTTTCCTGATCAATAGGATGCCCTCTCCTGTTCTTAATGGTAAAATACCATTCACCTGTCTTTATCCTGACAAAAGGCCTTTTCCTGTGGTTCCTCGAGTTTTTGGTTGTACTTGCTTTGTTCAGGATTTGTCTCCCGGACTGGATAAACTGTCTCCACGGTCTATTAAGTGTGTCTTTGTAGGCTACTCGCGTACTCAAAAAGGGTATCGATGTTATAATCCATCCACCAGAAAATATTTTGTGTCTGCCGATGTAACCTTTTTTGAGTCGGTTCCATACTTCTCATTGACTGGTTCACCCCCAACTGTCAGTCCATCTATGCCTCTTCCGTCTATTGCTCCTACTGTTGTTCCACTACCTGTTTCAGTTCCTACTGCTGATGGATCTTCTCCAGGACTACAAAATGCTGCCACTATGCCATCTGCACCACCACCTCTACTGACGTATTGTCGTCGTTCAAAAGTTCCTGTCCCTCTCTCTGCTCCAGCCGAACATTCATCTCTCGTTGCAGGTCTGCCTCCTTCTACTCCTTCTGATCTAGATATTCCAATTGCTCATCGAAAAGGTAAACGGTCTTGTACTAATCATCCTATATCTGATTTTGTTTCCTATGACTGTCTTACTCCCTCTTCTCGTCAGTTTGCTTTGTCCTTGTCCTCTATATATCTACCCAGGTCATATGAGGAGGCCATATTAAATCCTGCTTGGAAACATGCCATGGATGAGGAGATGGATGCACTTGTTTCTAGAAGAACTTGGGATCTTGTATCTTCTCCGACGGGCGCTACTGTAGTTGGCT